GTAGGGCTGAGGAGTCTCAGACAGACAGCTGTCCTCCAACGAGTACTTCCAGCAGTACATGTAAATTCTTGCAGCGACGAGAAGAGTGAACTTGGATAGGGGCTTGATTGCAACATCGTTGATGGACGCTTTATTGCAATATCGTTGATGCGCATTGGATTTGCACTGGTCCTCCTCGTCCCCCCCCGTCCTCTCTCATCCTCCTCTTCCAGCCCTGCCCTGGCCAGGTAATTCTGTGCGCCCCCCCTCCGGTCGCGAGGCCGCGGAGCCGCAATTGCCCCCGGACATGCCGGAGCTGGAGGAGGTCCTTGTGCCAGGGCATCGGCAGGCCCAGACGCCCCCAGCCCGGATTTGTGGCGTTGCGATTTTCCTTGGTGTCGGCATTCCTTTTTGCGATGTCGGTCTCCAGGATTCCGTTTTCGGGCCCCCGGGGCCGTCACGATTGGGCGAAAAAGCCGAATGTTTTTGGGGCCGCGCGTTGCCGAATCTGTTCCCGAAAAGGGCGCCTAAACAGCGCTTGCTGGTTGCTGCACTCGATTCCCAGCGTCTGTGGTGCAGTCCGTCTATGTTGCATTTTCGATGTGCATTGGCTGAGATCAGTCCATGGGATGCGAGCTACGTGATGCAATCCATGGAGTGGAACATGCGCGTATGTCAAACAAGTAGATCCTAGAAAGGGCCCCGCCCACCTCGGGAACATCGAGTGGTCGTTTTGCACCCTCCCCAGGGGGCCCCCTCTCGATTTCCCCCCCCCCCCCCTCCCCTCGTCGGCGTGACCCCCCCCCCATCTTTTGACCCCCCCCCCTTCTTTGCGAGGCAGACTGGGAGAGGGGCGGCGGCCTGGAGCTCGACCCCGTGCTCGGCAGTGGAGCGGTCGTCCTGATGGACGCGGAGTGGATGGTGAGGCGAGCGCGCACTGGCGGCGTCCTCGAGCCGCGCCAGGCGTTGCCACCGACGGCCTTCATGTCCCACAGCGCCGTCAAGGCTGCCACTCCTCAGTATTTCGGGGGTCTGTTGCTGCACATCGCGTGCATATCACACTGCTGGCTGCAGGCGAACCACCCGGATCCACGCGGGCACAACCTGCGCATCTTGGGCCGGGCCCTGCAGCTGGCTTCCTGTGCCACTGGGCCATTTGTCGAATACTCGGGCCGCTGGGGTGTATTCATGGACTTCTGCTGCATCCATCAAAACTGCAGGGACCGTGAGGGCTGTCCCCAGCAGCGCACCTACCAGCGGCTCGAAGGCTCAGATTCTTTCGAGGACGATGCCCTCGGCCGCTTCGAGCTGGAGCATGCGCTCTTCAAGGAGGCATTGGGGAGCCTGGGGAGCTTCTACTCCCACCCAGCCACTGTCGTCTTCATGCTGACGCGGTTTCCAGATGATTACGGCGATGCTGCAAAGTACACCCGGTCGGGCAACACGGAGCAGTACTTCAACCGTGGTTGGTGCTTCTGCGAGTCATCTTGGGCGATGCTGACGAAGCCGTCTGACCGGCTCGTGGACCTCGGCCGATCCACCGGAGCGGAGGCCCTTTACAGTGAGCTGGTGGACACCTGCACCGCGGGGCGCCGGGCGCCTCTCCTGCCCGACGCCTTCGACGTGCAGCTGCAGAGCAAGGGGTTCACCAACGGCAAGGACGACCGGCCCCGGGTCGCCGAGCTCTATCGCTCCGCCTTCGCGCAGCGCTTCGAGGCCGCGAAGGTGCTGCGCTACGGCGCGCTGGAGTGGGGGGACGAGGCGGCGCAGCAGCTGGCCGCCGTGCTCGCCTCGGGCGCCGCGCCCCAGCTGCGGGAGCTCGACCTCGGCAGCAACCGCGTGGGCGACGAGGGCGCCGCGCGGCTGGCGGAGGTCCTGCGCGCCCCGGGCGCGCAGCCCCAGCTGCAGTACCTCAACCTCGGCAGAAACTGCGTGGGCGACGAGGGCGCCGCGCGGCTGGCGGAGGCCCTGCGCGCCCCGGGCGCGCTGCCCCAGCTGCGGAGGCTCGACCTCGGCGCCAACCGCGTGGGCGACGAGGGCGCCGCGCGGCTGGCGGAGGCCCTGCGCGCCCCGGGCGCGCTGCCCCAGCTGCGGGAGCTCGGCCTCACTGGCAACCGCGTGGGCGACGAGGGCGCCGCGCGGCTGGCGGAGGCCCTGCGCGCCCTGGGCGCGCTGCCCCAGCTGCAGTACCTCAACCTCGGCAGAAACCGCGTGGGCGACGAGGGCGCCGCGCGGCTGGCGGAGGCCCTGCGCGCCCCGGGCGCGCTGCCCCAGCTGCGGGAGCTCAACCTCGGCGCCAACCCGCTCGGCGGGCCGGGCAGGGCGGCGCTGCGCGCCGCGTGGGCGGAGGCCGAGCGCCCGGAGGGCGGCCTGTTCGACTTCGACTGAGGAGGGCCGGGCGCGGCGCGGCGCGCGGCCGTCCGAGGCGCGCGGCGCGAGAGGCCTCGCCGCCTCCCCCGCCCTCCCGGGCCCTGCCCCGCTGCCCTCCTCCCCTCCTCCGCGTCTCCTCCTTGCGCTCCATCCGCTCCTCCGCGTCTCCTCCTGCCGCTCCTCCCTGGCTTCCCCGGCGTCGCTGCTCATTCCTCCTCTTCCTCCTCCTCCTCCTCTTCGTCCTCCTCCTCCTCCTCCTCCTCCTCCTCCTCCTCCTCCTCCTCCTCCCCTGCCTCCTCGTCCTCCTCCGGGCTTGTTTTTGTTCTCCCCTCGCCCCCCGTGTTTTTTGTTCGGCACCCCCACCGGATGTCGTTCGGGGTGGTCTCTTCATTTTTGCCCCTCGGAGTTTTTTTCCTTCCCCTCGCTGGGGAGGTGGGGTCCGGGGTTCCCCCCCCGCCCTCCTCTCGGGGTCTCTTTTTGTGCCTTCGGAGTCTTAGTTCTTTCCCTTGGGGTCGCTTGCTTTCCCCATCGTGTCTTCGTTCCCCCCATCGCGTATTTTTCTGTTCCCTCCTGCTCTTCTTTCCTCCCCTCCTTCCTTGTCTTTGCTCCCCTCCCCGCGCCCTCTTGGGCCGTCTCGGAGCCGAGCTCTTGGGCCGTCTTGGGGCCCGTGGGCCGCGTGATTCTAAAGATTATAGCCGGAGTGCAGTATCCCCAAACAGGGTTTTTAGACCCACTGCGGTTTCCAAGGTCGATTGCGTGCTCGTCCAGTGCGGGCTGGCATGGCATGTTAAAACATGCCTCCTCCTCCTCCTCCTCCTCCTCCTCCTCCTCCTCCTCGTCCTCCTCCTCCTCTTCATCCCGAACGGCATCTCGGAGCCCAGAGTTGCGAGGATTTCTCAGGCGAAACGGGCTGGACCGCCTCGCGCGCGGCATTTCGGACCCCAGAGTTGCGACGATGTCTCGGGCGAAATGTGCTGCGAGGAAGTCTCAGGCGAAAAGGGCCGGACCACCTCGAGCGCGGCGTCTCAGAGCTCCGAGTTGCGGGGGCCTCCTGGGGCCTCCTGGGACCTCCTGGTGACCTCCTGGGGCTTCCTCCTGGGCCTCCTGCGGCCTCCTGGACCCCACCTGGGGCTTCCTGAAGCCTCGTGGGGCTCCCAGGGGGGGATATCTAAGATGTGGCCGTCGGGGCCCCCCAAAATGGGGAGGGGGCCACAAGAGCAAAAATCAACGAATCGACACTGGATGTGTATTAACTTGACACGTTCTGATAGGCCTCTTGCGCAGCATCTGAGAGCTCAGAGTTGCGAGAATGTCTTGTGCGAAACGGGCCGGACCACCTTGCGCACGGCATCTCAGAGCTCAGAGTTGCGAGGATGTCTCAGGCGAGACGGGCCAGACCACCTCGCGCAGGGCATCTCGGAGCCCAGAGTTGCGAGGATGTCTCCAGCGTGACGGGCTGGACCACCTCGCGCGCGGCATTTCGGACCCCAGAGTTGCGACAATGTCTCGGGCGAAACGTGCTGCGAGGAAGTCTCAGGCGAAACGGGCCGGACCACCTCGAGCGCGGCGTCTCAGAGCTCCGAGTTGCGTGGGCCTCCTGGGGCCTCCTGGGACCTCCTGGTGACCTCCTGGGGCTTCCTCCTGGGCCTCCTGTGGCCTCCTGGACCCCTTCCTGAAGCCTCTTGGGGCTCCCGGGGGGGATATCTAAGATGTGGCCGTCGGGGCCCCCCAAAATGGGGAGGGGCCACAAGAGCAGGAAAAATCAACGAATCGGCATCGGATGTGTATTCACTTGACACGTTCTGATATGGGGGGCCTCCTGGGGCCTCCTGGGAGCCTCCTGGGAATCTCCTCCGGACCCCATGGGGCTGTCCTGGGCGTCCTGCGGCCTCCTGAAGCTCTCTGGGGCCTCCTGGGGCTCCCAGGGTCCCAGGGGGGATATGTAACATTTGGTCTTCTGGGCCCCCAGGCTGGACCACCTCTTGCGCAGCATCTGAGAGCTCAGAGCTGCGAGGATGTCTTGTGCGAAACGGGCCGGACCACCTTGCGCACGGCATCTCAGAGCTCAGAGTTGCGTGGGCCTCCTGGGGCCTCCTGGGACCTCCTGGTGACCTCCTGGGGCTTCCTCCTGGGCCTCCTGTGGCCTCCTGGACCCCTTCCTGAAGCCTCTTGGGGCTCCCAGGGGGGGATATCTAAGATGTGGCCGTCGGGGCCCCCCAAAATGGGGAGGGGGCCACAAGAGCAGGAAAAATCAACGAATCGGCATCGGATGTGTATTCACTTGACACGTTCTGATGGGGGGGGCCTCCTGGGGCCTCCTGGGAGCCTCCTGGGAATCTCCTCCGGACCCCATGGGGCTGTCCTGGGCGTCCTGCGGCCTCCTGAAGCTCTCTGGGGCCTCCTGGGGCTCCCAGGGTCCCAGGGGGGATATGTAACATTTGGTCTTCTGGGCCCCCAGGCTGGACCACCTCTTGCGCAGCATCTGAGAGCTCAGAGCTGCGAGGATGTCTTGTGCGAAACGGGCCGGACCACCTTGCGCACGGCATCTCAGAGCTCAGAGTTGCGAGGATGTCTCAGGCGAGACGGGCCGGACCACCTCGCGCAGGGCATCTCAGAGCTCAGAAGTTCGAGGATGTCTCAGGCGGACTCCCAGGGTCCCAGGGAGGATATGTAACATGTGGTCTTCTGGGCTCCCAGGCTGGACCACCTCTTGCGCGGCATCTGGGAGCTCAGAGTTGCGAGAATGTCTTGTGCGAAACAGGCCGGACCACCTTGCGCACGGCATCTCAGAGCTCAGAGTTGCGAGGATGTCTCAGGCGAGACGGGCCGGACCACCTCGCGCAGTGCATCTCAGAGCTCAGAAGTTCGAGGATGTCTCAGGCGAAACGGGCTGGACCACCTCTCGCGCGGCATCTCCGAGGAAAGAGTTTCGAGGATGTCTCAGGCGAAACGGGCCGGACCACCTCGCGCAGGGCATGTCAGAGCTCAGAGTTTTGGAGGATGTCTCAGGCGAAACGGCCCGGACCACCTCTCGCACGGCACCTCGGGGCTCAGAGTTTCGAGGATGTCTCAAGCGAAACGGCCCGGACCACCTCTCGCGCGGCGTCCTGGAGTGCAATTTTTCGAGGATGTCTCAGGCGAAACGGCCAATCCCGGCCAACTCAGAAACGAGAGTTGTGAGGATGTCTCAAGCGAAACGGCCCGGACCATCAAATTTTTGTGAGGATGTCTCTGCTCCGACTTCCCTCGGCCGGAGTTAACCTTTATCACAACAGCACACCGTTCAGCAAGCTGTTTGGGGAAATACGAGGAAGCAGGCCATGGGAGCCGCCAGGGGGCCGCTTCACTCGAACAAAAACTATGGAAAACGGTCCAGCAGGCCAATTTGCCCGGTCCTGCCCCCTCCGCCGGACCCCCTCTCCAAAATGGCCTCGCCCCCTACGAAATGTCTCTCGTTCCGCTCTTTCCGTCACTTGGGCTGGACACTGTGAAGTCCAAAGAAGCTAATCTGCTGAACATGTACGTTTTTCTGAGGGAATGGGGCGATGTTCTGCCTCTTGAGGGCTCCCTTGGGGACCTCCTGCGGCGTCTTGGGAGTCTCTTGGGCCGTCTGAACGCCATAATTATTAGGCCCTCTTGGAGCGTTCATGGGCCGTGTTCGGGCCCTCGTGGACCTCTCCGATGCCGTCTTGGAGGTAGAGGCGCTTTTAGGGCTGACTTGGGCCGTCTTGGGCCGAAAATTGTCAAAATTAGGGCCATTAGACCTGGGCCGGCAGGGAAATGGAAAGAGCGCTTCAAACACATTAACCGAAGTTACTCACACCACCGTTCGTACTGGGAGCCTTGGCGTTGAGAGCTTGTTACGTCACCCCTCGCTCCTCCTCCTCCTCCTCTTCCTCCTCCTCCTCCTCCTCCTCCTCCTCCTCCTCCTCCTCTTTCTCCTCCTCTTTCTCCTCTCCTCCTCCTCCTCTTCTCCTCCCCCTCCTCTCCTCCTCCTCCTCCTCTCCTCCTCCTCCTCCTCCTCCTCCACAATTACTCAATATGAATACTACTCTCCTCTTCCCCCGATGGCGGCCTGAAAGTATTAGACCACCCCGCGTACTGTTTTTTTCACACAGGATTCCCGGGAGTTGGGTTTTCGCCTGCGTTTTTTTTCAAAATGCTGCTCTCGCTGAGGCGCCGGCCTCATTTCTGCTCCCGAATCGTTCCGAATCGTGCTCCCGCTGCAGCGTGGGCCTCATTTTCGGATCGGTGTTTGGCCTCCGTCGTTCAGGATGGCGTTCTCGCCCCAGCGCGGGCCTCTTTCTCGCGCGCCCATCCGCCCGCCACCACCGCGCCGCACCACCACCCCCCCCCCCCCCACCATTACCATCACCACCAACCACCACCAGCAGCACCACCACCACCACCACCACCCCACCACCACCACCACCACAACCACGCACACACGCACGCACGCACGCACGCGCACCACCACCACCCACTACGCACGCGCGCGCGGAGCCACAGGTCCGCTACGACACGCGTCCGCGGATAGAGAAAATCAGCGCCATGGTAAGGGATGGGAGGGAGGGGTAGGACGTCAGATATGACGCGAGCGCACCTAGCT